GCCAACCTGACATCTCTTGTCCATGAGCAAGCTTCTTTAAATGAGCACGTCAGGGCCAGCAGGTGGCTGAGGTACTAGGCTTCCACACGGCCGACCATGGTTCGAGTCCCGGACCTGGTGGCTTGTTTCTCACTTACCCTTTCTCTCTCTTTCTGGTCAAATTAAAAAAATAAATGGAAATAAATAAATAAATTTTTAAAATGAACATGTCTGCAGAAATGCTGATTCCCACCTCTCCCCAAACCTGCTTCTTGCTCTGTCACCCCATTCCAGTAAAGAGTAACCTCATTCTTCTAGTAACTCCAGACAAAAGTACCAGGGGCAGTACCTTGGCTCCCCTCATGGGATGTTTTCTCACTTTCCCTCTCTCTCTGGCAAGTGCATGTGCCCTATGGCAAAACTTAAAGAAATAAAAAGCATTCACCCCTAAGACTATCTTCCCTACCATGTCTGCATGTCTCATCCCTGGCATGCATCGGCCTATGGTCCATCTGTCCCCAGGAAAGCTCCACACAAGGGCCTTGGTTTTTTTTTCCTGCTGCATCTCAGAACCTGAACCAGTGCCTGGGACCGGCATTCAGCAAACACCTGCAGGCTGGAGGAACGCATGAATGCCCATGCTGATGGGTGGCAAGAGGTGGGCTGGACACAAGCTGGGGCCGGACAGCAGGACTGAGGTGCTGCCCAGGGCGGGCAGTGAGAGAAGCCACCACCCTCTTCCCAAACTCTCAGGCCAAAGTGCCATCCCATCCCTCGGTCTGCCCACAGCTGAGAGGGGTGTCTGCTGCCAAGGCCGCTCATACCAGCCCATCTGCTGGAGGACACCGAGGCTCTGAGAGCAGAGGTGACATACTGCGCAGTAGGCAAACCTCTGCTACCGGTGAGTATGCCACCTGCCACCTCGCTCTGTCATGCACAGGGGAGCAATTCAGTTCTGCTGTCAGAGTTTGAGTAGAGTCTTACTCACACAATTACATAATAAGTCGGCATTCTGGCCCAAGATTCTGGATGGGTGGGGGAAGAGCAGAATACAAGAGAAATCCTTGAAGCAAGTCATTTACAGAGACCTAAGTGGGGGAGAGAGTAAAACCGTGCCCCTCCCAGCCTTTCCAGGACCAGCTTGTGCCGAGTCCTCCAAGCCAGGATCAGGGTGCAACCCTGACCTACCTCTCCGAGCAGCTGCCACCTCTCTGTCCCCTGGGGTGCCCGCGCTGTGTTCCCATGGCAACACGGACTTCCCACCCTTTCCGCACCATCCCGCGCAGGTATCCCCGCACAGGCCCGGTTCGGTTGGTCCACCCCGGCCACGGTGTCTGGGCACGCAGCGAGCACTGGAAGGATGGGCAACTAGATTTTCGGGCGCAAAATAAAGGAACCCTCTAGGCAGGGAAGGGAGCGGAGCGCACTCTCCATCCGCCTAGGCGGGACCAGCCAGTCCTAGGCCTTCACTGGGTCTTGGTGTATTTTCACTCCCTGGGAGGCCTCGGTCTCCTCATCTGTAAAACGGGGACTCTCGAGACCGCCCCATCACTCCCGCGGGAGGGGCCAAGCCCGTATCAACCACCGCGAGGTTGGGGGGACCCGCGCCGGGGGCCACCGGGAGACCACCTCCGCCTGCCCCGCCGTCCGGGCGATCCCCAGCCCGAGCTGCCCGCGTCGCGGCGCCAAGCTCTGGGTCCGGCTCACCTGGAGGTGACGAGCACCGCCGGGGTCTGCATGACGGCGGCGGCTCAGGCGGGGCGCGCAGTCAC